CAACAGAAGGAGACTCCGTCTCAAAAAAAAAAAAAAAAAGAAAAGAAAAAAAAAGAAATAGAACCCCCATTCCTGGCCAGGTGCATGGCCGGTCTCCCTTGCAACACGTGTGGCCATCTTACTACGTTCTGGTTCAAGGGACGTCCATAAAAGGAAACGCTTGCTCTTTTTCCTTCCTGTCTGCAGGCTGGGATGGAATTTGATGGCTGGAGCTTGGCAGCCATGAGGTACTATGAGGTGAAATCTACATGTCGCAGACGGCACAGCCACAGTTGGAAGGAGCCTGGGTCCTCAATGCTTTTGGGGTCAGAAGTTTCCTGTCCTGACTAGCTCACCTCAGACTCCGTAAACATGAGTGAGCAACAGCATCGCCCCGGTTTAGTTTTCACCAGAGAACCTGATCCTATGGACGCCGTGGGACCACAGGACCATATAGACCACGCCTGGGAGCAGGGGTCCCAGAGCCGCATTTCCCCCTCCAGCGTAGAACCCTTGAGAGCAGGTCTGCACGGGCTTTGAGGGTGGGGCCTGGGCCTGCTGCCCGAGGCTGCTGTGGTCCCATAATTGCTTCCAGGGGTGACGAGTGTGGTTCCCAAGGCCGCTCTGTCCTGTTCATCCAGGAATTCTGACCCGGGCGAGAGACTCCCATCCGGGTGGAAGACGGGGGCCTCCAAACAGGGCCTTGGGGAGAGTGTGCTTCCCCATCGGTCAGTACCTGACTGCACACCCCACGGGCTGGCCAGGGCTGGGCAGTCCAGTTTCCAGCCAACTCCCCCAGGTGGCCCTTGAGCCACCCAGAGGAGTCCCCTCTGCCACCATGACTGAGTTTCCTGAGGCCTCCCCGGCCACACGGAACCGTAAGTTAGTTAAACCTCTTTTCTTTATACTTTACCCAGTCTCGGGCAGTTCTTTAGAGCAGCATAAAAACGGACTAATACAACAGGCCCAGGTGAGGCGTCCCGGGCTCAGGTCAGGGCCTACACTGGGCACCACCTTCGCTCCTCTCCTCTCCAGTGAGCACCAAGCCACATGACTTGGGCTGGAATCCCGGCACTGGTCTTGGCCAAAGGGGGATTTACCGGCCCTGGGCACCCCCTGCCCGCCTGTGCCGTGGGACGGTGCGTCGAAGGTGGCCGTGTGGCCTGCGGGTCTGGCGAGGAAGTTGTGCAACTGCTTCCCCACTGGCGTCTGTGTTGGGGGTTGCCTCTTCCAAGGAGGCCCCACAGCCCGGTACTCCCCACATCCCACACAAGCCCTGGCCCGGAGCCTCACCGAGGGGCGTGCTCTAGGGCCATGGCAGGAATGGGTCCGCAGCTCCCCTGAGCAGCCGGAAGCCTCCCCTTCTCCCGCCGCAGAGGACGGCAACTTCTTCCCAGGCCCCTTCTCTTAGCGCACTGAGCAAGAGCCTGGAGCAACCAGGGCCCAACACCAAATGGCCCTGGTCCTTCCAAGCCCAGTCCTGCAACGAACTCCACAGCCACACACGGCCCTACTCCGCCCACCCCATACGACTTGTGAGCCACTGTGACCCCAGGCGTCCTCCTAGCTGTGCCCACCCTGGAATCCCAATCAGGGCGTGTGAGGCCTCGGGCCACGACTGCAGCCTGATTTCAGCCCCCACCGCGCCCAGCCAGCCGCCCTGGCCCACCTCTGGGTCACACCGAGAAACACGTCTCCTAACAGGACTGTTCTGTCACGTCACAGAGGTGGAGGACGCTGGGGGAGGCAGGAAAGGCCGTGGAAGAGAGAATAATCCAAGACCACACAGACCCGAACCGCGTGCCGGAGAGACCCGGGGAGAGGAGACACGGAGCCGTGTTAAACCAGAATTATTCAACCAGTGTAATGTGTCTGAAGAGTCATCTTGACTAAAAATATTACATAAGCTTTTTTCTTACAATGACATACAGGTATTAAAACTGTCAAGTTTGTCTAAAAGTCAGTTTTTCCTCCTTATCTTGTAACCTAGCGACCAAGTAAGAAAAAAAAAACAAAACCCAGAGCCAACAACGTACCTACGGTACAAGGAGTACTTTTTAAATTTTAAACTTTTTCTTACTTTATCTGAATATAAAAAAAAAATTAATATAATTTCTAAAAGCCAAATGGAAAAAAAAAACTCACACCAAAAAAAAAAAAAAAAAAAATGCTAATAGAGCTTATTTATCATCTGTTTCACTCTCCCCAAAGGTAGACAAGTTATATTAATGAGCTTGATCAAAGAAATATTTCCTATTCATAAAACACACCGTTTTACCAGCTTTGCAAGACCCTCGAATTCGAGGCGGACAGCGCAGTCCTGCGGGGATGCTGACCGTGGCAGAAGCAGTGACGTGCGATGAAGCATCGGGCAGTCCTTTGTGGAAGGATCATTATGAAAAACCTGTGCAATCTTGTGGCTTCCCTCGAATTTAGCAGAATAGGGTTTGGTCTCTTGTGACGATGACGATCTCCTGTCTTTCCCAGTTCCTGAGGAGGCGCCAGCTTGCAAGGACCCCATGGTTTGAAGGAATGGCGGCCCCGGCACCCAGAGACCAGGCGGCAGCAGGCTCCGACTCCACGTACGTTCCAGCGCCTCCCCGGGTGTAGCGGCTCCCACCTTGGCGTGGGCACAAAAAGGGTAAACAGGCAAACAGCAAAAAGGCAGTTCTGCACCCCCATCCGCTGCCGCCAGCAGGGACCTGATTCCTGTCATCTGCCACCGCAGAAATCCTGAAACGGAGCCTCCAGTTCCTGTGCCGCTGGCCCGGCGTGGACACTCATGCCATGCCAGTGAGAACGGGCACGGGGCGTCGGGTGGCTGAGGGCCCGGGACCAGGCCGGGCACACCCGGGTTCATGCTCGACGGCTCCCAGGGAAGGACACAGGGGAGCTCCCTGCGGAACCCCAGGAATTAACCGTCGCCGTGGCTCAGACTCTGGCGGGTGG